TTCTGGTGGAACCGACCTTCGAATCTCTTCACCCAACACTTCCACTCGAAATGGAAGTAATCCCAACAATGTTTCGTAACTGTTCCGCTTACTTCCGTTTCGAGTGCCAATGTTGGGTGAAGAGATTCCAAGCTCCATTCGACCAGGCGACGACGGCGGAATCCTCTCGATCAGCTGTCGATTGGCTGTCCTGCTAACGCATTCGATTCCAGTGAACAGGTGGCAAACTCTCGTCTGTCATGTGACGGGTCATGATCAGAGCACGGTTTCATCGTGACAACCAAATTCAAGAGTCTTTTGACGGGCGATAGGTTAGCAACTGGTCACCGGAATGGAAGGAAATTGCCTCGGAGCCAACCTCAACAAGAATGTTCCAGTAAAGCCAATTGAAAGTTGGTCAAGAGGAGTCGGCCGGTCGTCTTTTCGTCGAGTTGACTCTCGAAGCTGCCGGAGTGGAAGTGAGCTGAGCAATAGCGAACCGAGAAATGACTTGGAACACAAATTTGCGAGGCAGTTGATACGGAGCTATTCGAGAATCACTGAGAGTCTCGAAGTCGACTTATACCGAATAAAAGCCAGTCATCTTGTGGGTGTGCATCTGTGTGAAACTCTCTCTTTCGATTGTACCAGCGAGAAACGGGCTCTCTTGACCCAGCAAAAGTGTGAAATGAACAATCAAATGGTGCAAATGATGGCTTCCGGGTACAAGGTTGGCGTCAACGCCTCAAGATCCCACGTCCAATTAGACGTGCCGAATGGACTAAATTGCTCGTCAAATCGGATTATTTCTGCATCTGATTGAACTCGCGAAGCGCGAAAGTCTGTCAAATTGAGGCATGCAGCAAACGACCTCGGCCCGCAAATGCAATTACTTATTGAGCACACCACAAGCAGCACACGACACTACATTACAAATGAACACGGTAAAAATTGTGACTGTGAAGGTGTGATAGGAGGAGATAGGAAGTGTGAATAGGCCAAGCCAGAAGGGGAGATACCACAACTGTTTAGCACACGTTTGGTCAATGGATCGGCTTCACTTGTCTCTTTGACGAGTTGTTGTATGTTGCTAAAAGTGGTGAAACTCACTGACGATGCCGGCGAAATGTGTGGGAATGTACCACGTCCACGGTTCAACTTTGGACACCGGATAAGGTGCATTCCTCTAAGTCTTCCTACCAAT